GTGGGGGCCGGCAGCAGGAGGAGGCACAATGGGCTCAAGTTGCAGTGGGGAGGTCCAGGTTGGAGATTAGGAAAAATGATCCCCTAGGAGGGTGGGGAAGCCCTGGGCTGGGTTCCCTGCGGGATGGCTGGACACAGCCCTGGCTGGGATGATGGAGTTGGGGTGGGTCCTGCTTTGGGCAGGAGACTGGACGCGATGGCTCTTAAGGTCTCCGCCAGCTCTGGGGTTCTATGACATTATTCCTTCACAGCTAACCTGTGGAACTCTTTGCCAGGAGACGTGGAAAGGCCCAAACTACAACAGGTTGTCAATACGAATGAAGTAAGTTCAAGGTTAGGTCTATGAATGGCTGCTAGCCAGGATGGGCAGGGCTGCTGTCGCTCACCTCTGCCAGAAGGCAGGAATGATGACAGGAAGATCACTTCACGATTCCTTCTGTTCACGCCTTCTGAAGCACCTGGCAGTGGCCACTGTGGGCAGACAGGATCCTGGGCTAGACGGATCTTTGGTCTGACCCAATCTGACCTTATGTTCTTATATAGAGCCCGAATGTATCTGCCCCCTGCTGTAACCCACCAGACCCTCTCCCCTCCCAGAGCTGAGAGGTCCAACACGTCTTTGTCCTCTGTGCAGGCACTGGAGGAGTTGCTCAGCACTACTTGGGTACTTCCCTCTTTCCTTTTCTTCCTTTGAATCCTGGCTCAGGATGCAGGCTACCCTGGGGAGAGAGGATGCCCCAGCCCTCTTACCACAGCAGCTGCAGCGGGCACAGATGGGGGAGGGGCATGCATCTCCCAGCTGGAGCAGGTCCAAGTTCATCTGTCCCCTGTGCTCCCCAGCTGGAGTGAGGAGTGCAGGAAGCTGCACTTTCCCCTCGCTCCCTGTCGAAGGGGACCAGCCAGCCAGATTCCTTTAGGAATCCGGGGGAGGGGGGGGTAAGATTCATCCCCCCCACACCTTCCCACTTGTGGGGTGGAAGGCTGAGGGCTGGGGCAGTAATTGTGTCTCTCTTCTGTAGGGTTTTCTGAGATGCTGTCCCACTCACAGACTCATAGACTTTAAGGTC